TGATTATAATGTTCCTACTGAAGAAAATCTTAGTGATGAACAAATTGTTAATTTAGTACAATCTGAAAAAAAAGAAGAAAATGAAGAAAGTGATAGCAATGATGAAGAGATACTTCCAGTATCAGTTAAAAATGCAGTTAGTGGGTTGGAAACTTTTATTAAATATTTTGAACAGCAAAATGATGATATCATAACTCTGAATTTAATATTGATGATTTGAGAATTTTTAGAAAATATTTACAAATATCTAGAGTTATTGAATTTAATTCAAAAAAACAAAAATCTATTGATATATTTATTGATATCTAATATATAATATAATAATTTCACCACTTATTAGTTTATTTTAAATAATAATATAATAATAATATAATCTTTTTTTGTTATATTTTAATAAATTGAAATATTTTTTTTACAATATTTGATTTTTTATAATTACACCTGTAAAAAATTATATATATATGTGACTATATAAATAAAACCTCAGTATAAGAACACCTCAATATAATTACACCTTTAGATGAACTCGAAGGGTGTGATTACACTGGTCGAAAATTGATAAAACATACACATATCGGGTACCCGATATGTGCATGGTGTGTCCCTAATATCGGGCATATATCGGGTACCCGATAAGTGTAGAAAATATTTTTTTACACTTATCGGGTACCCAATATATATATAAAATATTTTCTATACCTATCAGATATCCAATATATATCTAATATTAAGGACGTACCATGTACATATCGGGTATCCGATGTATATATGATTTATCAATTTTCAACCAATACTATCAGCTGCTTTTATAATCAAATATCTAAATAATAATTTTAAAAAACAATGGATCAAGGAATGAAGAGGCCTTAAATGATGAAAAAGTAAATCTGTTAAAAATTACTATTATCAAGTGAAATGGATGGCTACTTGAGCAGACCTCGATGCTAACGGTACTCTTCCCTATTTTATTCGAGAACTGCTGCCAGAAATAAAATCTGTTGTGAAGACACATGACCCTGCTGACTTGTCTAATTTATTAAAGACCAAAAAATACGAGTTAAGCAAATTAGCTACAAAAAAATCTTGTAAAAAATATAGGCAATATGAGAGCTCTACTGACGACTCCTCTGATAATAGCGAAAATGAGGATGAAAAACCTTGACGTAAATGAAAAGAATCTAAAAAGAAAAATAAAAAACCTAATAGTGACGATGAATTTGATAATCTCACAAAATGGTTTGAAATGTTACAAATTAACCTGATGCAACAAATTATCAACATAATCAAAAAAGTTAAATAATTTAATAGGAATAATAATTTCGGAAGTAATAATAACTCTAGAAATGATAATAACAATTGAAATAAATTGAGATATTATAATTGTCAAGAAAAAGGACACTTTACAAAAGATTGTTTATCCAAAAGGAGACAATAACCAAATAAAAGAAGTGTTAGTTATGTTAAATATGATAATAATTCTGATGAAGAATATGAAACTTATGAAACTATCCAAAATAAACCTACTACCTGAAGTAACCCTATACGAAAATTAAGATAACCACCAAAAACTCCTGTCACTCTAAAAGTTTTATTCAACCCTAAGGTTAATTATAGAGAATCTGAAACAATAGTTGAATTTGAAGAGGATCCTTTTGATGAAACCACACCAGATATTGAAATGAAAAGTAAAACCCCTACTCCTAAAAAGATTACCAAACCAAAAACAAAAAAATAACCATCTGTCATTGATCAACTACCTCCATATGATGTGTCTCAAGATATCTTAAATTCACTAGCTAAGGTAACAATTGAACAAATGTTACAATACCCTGTTCAAAAGAGAAACTTAACAAAAGTCCTTAAGCAAACTTCTATTATCTTAAATTATGTTGAGACTGGAAAAGAAAAATGTACTACCGTTGCTAAATATTACGTATACATTAAAAATAATGTAATCATTGCAGTCTTGAACTCTGGTGCTACTATCAGTATTATTACTGAAAAGCTGAAACAATGTTTAAGTTTGAAAATTGAAAAATCTTCAAATATAATGGTCATAACTGCCAATGGTACAAGGTAATGTGCCCTAGGAGAAATAAATTCAGTAGGAATTACTATCTAAAGTATATTGATACCTACGAAACTTATGGTTATCAACTCTACTGAAAAAAATTTATTATTAGGTACTGACTTCTTCGAAAAGATCCAAGCACAATAAGACTTTAAAACCTGTAAACTCAAATTACGATATGAAAGAGAAGTAATCAATATAAACATTACCCATTCTGACCATGTTGATTTTTCACTTGACGATAAGTATAGTGATGAGAATGAGGAAAACAAATTTGAAAATAATGATGATGTCCAAAATAATTTAAAATATGAATTAGAAGATTTGAAAAAATGTGAATCTTTTCAAACTAAATCTTATTGTCCTTAGCATGATGAAAAACTATCAAGATACACTTTCAATGAGAATTCTGCTATATTCTTTACAAACTGTAAAAAGAAAGTCATTACAAACAATGTCAATTATGAGGATAAACAATCCAATATACAAAGAATCCTTAATAAATAACAAACAATCATTGCTGATAAATTCTTTACCAATTACAATGATGTGTTTGCTGAAAATATATTTGAAGAGGGATAAACTATTGAACTAACACAAACACATGTGGTTAAACACGAAATACAAATTAAAGATACTGAACCTATTAAACAAAAAGCCTACTGTATTGCTTTCTCAGAAAGAGATTTTATTAAAATGAACTTAATGTCATGTTAAAGAAAGGGATTATAAGAGAATTCACTAGTTTCTGAGCCTCACCAGTTATTATTGTTTCAAAGAAAAATAAAGAGAAACAAATTTGTATTGACTATTATAAACTTAATAAGTTCATT